AGACGTGTTTCGCGGCGGCAAGGGGAAGGGGAGGGGAGGCGAGCTGAGCGATGAGGAGGAGGAGGAGGACGAGTGGATGTACCGCTCGATCGAGGTGTCGCAGGAGGTGCGCGTGCGCTGCCGCGTCGAGCTGCTCGACTTTAGCGGCGGCGCCGACGGCCGCGCCTTGCGTGCCGTGCTGCCTCGGCTCGGAGCCTCGAGTGCGCGCGGGCCCGGTGGTGGTGTTGAGCTGCGACGAGACTGTCACCCGGGGAGTCGCGGAGTAGGCGCGGTGCTGCTCGGTGTGGAGCGCGACGCGGCCGAGGAGATGAAGGCGCACCTCGAGGCGAGCGCGCCGGTCGGACGGCCGCTGGCGGCGACCGTCGCCACGGACGGCGAGCGGATCGACGTTTCGTCGCACGCGGCATGCTGCCCGTCTCTCGAGAAGCGCACGCCGCCGCCCGAGGATGCGTGTTGGCTCATCGTTGCGTGTGACTTGATCAGGCGTCGTACCGGCTCAAGCTCGACGACAAGCTCCTCGCTAGCCTCAAGCTCACGCGCGTCGCCGCATACGACCTCGCGCACGCCACCGGCTTCCTGCGCAAGCCGCGAGACTTGCGCCGCGGCGTCGCCGCTGTGCTGGAGCCGCCGTCCTCTGCACCCGCCGCACCCGCCCCCCCTGCAATCGCGCACGCCGGTGGTGGTGGCGGGGCCGCCGCCCCTGCGTCTTTCGACGCCGCTGCCGCCGCGCTTGCGCCGGCGGCTGCCCCGCCGAGGCCGACGCGCCGGCGCACCACGCTGGTGTCTGCGGGCCCGCTGCGGCTGCCGGAGCTGCGCAACAGCCTCGCGCGCGAGGGCGTGGCGACGGAGCTCGAGACAGGGGCCTTGCTGCTCGGAGGCGGGATTGTGGCGCTGACGCGGCCGGAGCCGAGCGAGCTCGTCCTCGCGGGCGATTTTGGCGCCACCTTTCTCCGCGCGCGCAAGCGGACCTTTGAGCACCTCGCGAGGATTTGATCTGACAGACGCGATCATTTTTTTTCCGGCTAATTCTTTTTGGAGAAACCCGGCTGGCCCCCAGACCCGGGGGTCGCCGCTCTCGCTTGCCGCTTGCGCAAAGCATGAAACTGCTTATCGTCGTCGACGGCGTGCGGCACGAGGTGGTCGCCGCCGGGTCCTACACTGTCGCCGAGCTTCTGCAGAGGATGGGCAGCACGTGCCTAAGCGGGTCAGTTGACGGAGTGCTCTCGCTCGGCAACTTGATACTGCCTGCAGACGGCTCTCCTCTCCTTAGCTTTCTCTCGCGCCGTCACATGTACTCGCTCATCGCTTTGCTGCACGGTGTCAGGCACAACGCTGTCCGACGCCAACGTCGCCGACCGGGACCGCCTCGTCCTCACCACGAGTGCGTCGCCGACAGCGCTTGGCAAGGTGACATCGTGTGTGGCACACACGCCTTTACCGTCCCGGCGGTCAGCGGTTGGGATGTCGCCTTACGATAGGCTCTCGCCGCGCTCGGGTCTGCCTCTGCTACGCTCGAGCGGTTTGAGGCGGCGGTTGCTGCTGGCGACGCGCCGCACGAGGAGGAGCTCACGCGCCTGTTTGAGCTTGTCGACGCGGCGCCTCTCGACGGGCTGAGCGAGGCGCAGCGGGGGGAGTGCCGGAGACGCCGAAAGGCGATCGTGGCCCGGTTGGAGGCACTGAGTGCCCGTGCTGCGGCCATGCCAACAACTTGTCAGTGACTATTTCCGTCGGCCTCGCAGATCTGCTCGACGCTCGCAGCCGGCCTGGCTGCTGTGCGGCCGGCCTTGCCTAGGCAGGAGCAGGGAGTAACGTACGTGGTTCATCGCGTTCAGCGCGGTGGCTGTGCGCGGAGAGGTTGGGTGTGTATGGCGTGTTCACTGCCATGGCCGCGACCGCACGACCCCCAGTGTGAGGTGATCTCTCAAAGTGTGTGTGTGTGGAGATCACGCCAATGCTGTTTTAAAAACAAAACAATCCGCCCTCAGGCCTCACGGCAAGGACTGGCACGCCCCCCGATTTGGGCCATTCCCTTGTTCGAGCCCCTTGGCATATGGCAAGCGCTTTTGTAGCAACTTAACACTGCGACGGATCGGGCTCATCCTTTTTAGATACACATTCTCCCTTTTTATCGAATCGGACGCCACAACCTCGTGGCCCCGTCGGGCGTGTGGCCATGGCGTCAATCGGCACTGCGCGCTGCTCGTCGGGGTCTTCGCGCGCTAGGTGTAGCTGTAGGTCTGACCGCCGCCCGAGCGCCGCCACGGCCACAGCCGAGAGCTGCGCACGGTGTCAACCTCGTTCACCCGCGGCGCGAGCACGGCAGAGAGGCCGAGCGCGCAGAGGAGGCCGCCAGAGATGAGAGTGAGGGCGCCACGGTAGCCAGCTGCGGAGCGGCTCGCTCCAACCAGCAGCGCGAGGCCCATCTGCACGAGGATAAATATCGACTCGGTGACGCCATACGCGCGGCCGAGCCGGCGCGTGTTGCCCGGCATGAGCGCGTTGGGCACGATCGGGCTCGAGACCTGGGCGATCGACATGGTGAGCACCGCCAAAGACTCTCTCAGCCCAAAGTGCAGCGCGTCGCCGTCGTGGAACGTGCTCGCGAGAAGCAACGACGCGACCAGCGCCATGAGGGGCGCTGCAAACAGCATCGGCTTTACGCCGAGAAACGTGCAAGCCACGATGAGCATCGGCGTCACCAGTCCGATGGCTAAGGCATCGTACGCGGCGAGACGCGAGCCTGCGTCGACGAGCGGGAGGCCGAGCGACATGACAAGCTTGATCCTCACAGAGTGGTACGCATGCAGGCTCCCGACGGTGAGCGCGCGCCACCCTCCCAGCATGAGCACAACAGCGCTGGGCACCACCCCGGGCCCAACCTCGCTGGCAAAACGACGCAGCGGCGCAGCCTCCGTCTCCCATTGGCTGAGGATCAGACCGGAGGCCGCCGCCAGAGCGTTTGGCAGCAAGATTGCCAGGCTCACGCGCAGCACCCCGCTTGCGGCATCCTCGTGCATGACAAGGATGCGCGGCACCAGCCAGGTGATAATCATACTGAGCAGGTGCTTCGAAACGACCATCACCCCAAAGGCGACTGCAGTGAGGCGGCCGCACACCCGCGCGGCGGTAGCAACCTGCGCGACATGCACGCCAGACTTGCACAGGCTGGTCAATAAGAAGCCGAGGAGGAGGAGGCCGTTGGACAGCAGCTTGTGGCCACGCTTGTGCAGGCCGGCGGAGATGAAGAGGGCGCCGAAAAACTCGCCCGCGGGCGCAAGCTGCAGCACTCGAACGCGATGCTGAAATCCTCGGTCGTACAATGCGCCCCACAGGACAGGCGTGACAATACCGGCGGCAACCGGTGCGACGCTGAGCATCGCGTACTCCAGAGGAGAGAGACCCATGCCCTCGAGCGCTGGCTGTGCTGCCGCAATAGCCTCCTTCCCGGCGTGAGACCCGAACCCAAGAGCGATGATCAGCGCCAGAGTCGCGCACGCATTGGAGGAGGAGCACGATTTGACCCCGGTCTCAAACAACACGTACTCCTGCTGGCCCGCACCCTCGCTGCCATGCTTGGCGGAAGTCATGCCGCGGCCGCGGTGTGGCGAACCTCGGCCGGGTCGGCGGGAGATTTTCGTTGTACTTTTAGACGAGGCCGCGCGGCGTACTTGCGCGAGAAAACTTAGAGGATGACCCCCCGCCCCCCCCCCCCCTCACATCATGCACTGCGCAAACTCTTCACAAGGACACCAGGAATTGCGACTCGCCGCTTTCCTCCCGCTGTGATCCTGTGTGAGCTCCCTCGGTGTCTTTCTTGTTTTCCCAACAACATACTCTCTACATACGCTACTTCTCACGAAACGAACGAGTTACGCAATATCCTCCGTCCGCGGTCGGCTCCAGACAGACAGAACAACGCTGGCTGTCCTTCCTCGCGCTGGAAGCGCCGCGCGCAGCGGTCTGGTGTTTGAAGAGCACCTCACCCAAGAGCACCTCAGTCCTCGTCCGAGGCAAAGGGCTTGCGCCGATCGCTGGTCCGCGTAGCCGCCTAGGAGCATAGTAACCCAAACCTCAGCAAATGTGGGGCTGCAGAGCATGGGGCAGCAAGGCGCGTCTAGCGCTGAACCTGGAATGGAGCTTGTCGTGCCATGGCGGCTATTATAAATTGTACGAGACACTGTTTCCGCGTGACGCAAAGAACTGGCAGCCGTAAAGGTCATCCTTCCCACTGCCCGAACCGCCGAAGGAGTAGCCCAGCCGCGAGGCGCACGTCCGGCATATTGGCGCTCACCGATTGGACACGACCGTGAGTAGCCAGAGTAGAGCCGGCAGGTGGGCGGCGGGGGGGGGGACGCGGCGGAGGTGGCGGGATGTGGCGGAGGCCGCGGTGGCGGGGTAAGCATCGGTGGTGGCGGGAGCGGGGGAGGTGGCGGCGGCGGCGGTGGCATCGGTATGGCGGGGGGCTCCGGCGAGGGTGGCACCGGGAGGGGCGAGGGAGGTGGTGGTGGCGGCAGCGGCGGTGGCGGCGCAGAGGGCGGAACGAAGCACGTGTCCTCGTATATGGTCCACTTGTCGGCGTTGGTTCCCGTGACGCGCACCGGCGAGTCGCATTGATTCGCTGGCGTGGAAGCACCGCTTGTTCGTTGCGCTGATGCTGGCGAAACCAGCTGCCTTCGCGGCGTCCTTGCACTCCGAGTTCCGCGCAATGTCCTGCGTCCGTGCTGTCGTCTCGTCGCACTTCCGCCGCGTCGTAACCTCCCGCCACGGTAGCTCGCACGGCGGCGGGGGAGGCTCGGGGACGGGTGAGGGCGGCGGCGGGGACGAGGGGGATATCTGACACGGGTCCTCAAAAATCCTCCACCTGTCGGCGTTGTTTCCCGTGACGCGCACCGGCGAGTCGCACTCGTCGGCATGGAAGCAACGCTTGTTGTCGGGGCTGATGTTAGCGTACCACATATAGCGGTCGCCCGCCGCCCTGGCCGCGTCTTTGCAACCCGCGGCGTTCGAGATGTCCTGGGTACGGCTTGTCGTCGTGTCACACTTCCGCCCTGTGCGGATCTCCACCCAAGGCAAGTCACACTCGGGGCGTCGAGGAAGTCGGGGACGCCGTCGCTGTCCGTGTCGACGGTGCCCTCCTCGGCGTCGGGTGTGCCATCGCCGTCCGAGTCGGGGTCGAGGTACGTAGTCGGGGATGCCCGTCGCCGTCCGTGTCGACGGTGCCCTCCTCTGCATCGGGGATGCCGTCGCCGTCCGAGTCGGGGTCTAGGTGATTGGGGATGCCGTCGCTGTCCGTGTCTACGGTGCCCTCCTCTGTATCGGGGATGCTGTCGACGTCTGCGTCGGGATCGTCAACGTCAGGCAGCCCGTCGAGCTGTGTGTGTGTCCGTATCGGCCGGCGCCGGAGGCGGAGCTGCGACACCCGCAGGCGGTGGCGAAGCTGCGACCCCCGCAGGCGGTGGCGAAGCTGCGACCCCCGCAGGCGGTGGCGAAGCTGCGACACTCGCAGGTCGAGCTACCTCTCTCTCTGCATGTCGCGCGTCGCGAGCAATGGATGAGTCTAGGCTCTTTGCTGACTGTCCACGTCCCAGCGTGCAAGTACACACACAGCACACAGACACACCTCTCGCGCTGACCCATCATGCACCGGTGCTCCAGAAATACTAAGCAGAACCGCCGCGCCCCGCGCCCCGCCCGCCCCGCCCGCCACGTCCACGCCCCCCTCTCCCCCCTCGCCTACCTACCGCCGCCGTGGCGCCCACGGGCTGAGCCTGGGGCGCGGGGCGCGAGGGCGGCTGGTGAACAAACGTCGTCTGCGCCGCCACCAGCCGCCCAGTTGCGGCGATGGGCAGCGCCGGCTGGCGGCAGGCCGGGCAGTTGCTGTCGCGCTCCAGCACGCGCGGCGCACACGTCTCGCAGTACAGCGCGTGGCCGCACGCGAAACGGACCGAGCGCGGCGCGTCCCAGCAGAGGTCACACAGGCGCTCCTCGGCCCCAGCCGTCTCCTCCACCTCCCCCGCCGCTTCGACTAGCGCCTCCAGCCGCGGCAGCGCCTCTGCGAGCGGCATCCGCTTCTTCTTCCGCTCGTACGCCAGCCCGACCACGAGCCGTGTCAGCTCCTCGGCCTGCGCCGCCGACCAGCCCGCGTCGGCCGCCGCGATGCTCTCCGCCGTGTCGGGCTCCTCCAATTCATCCTCGCACGCGTTGAGCAAGCCGACGGCGCCGCGGCCGGTCAGGCTGACGAGCAGCGTGATGCCGAGCGCAAAGCCATCAGTGAGCTGCGAAGCCTGGTTGTCCAGCGATATGATCGGGTCCATGTAGCCGGGCTTGCCAAAGATGCGCTGCGTCGACAGGTGCGACACCTGCTGGCTGCCGCCGGCCGTCGCCTCTGCCGCGCGCGCGAGGCCCACGTCGGCGAGGTAGCCGTTGCCGCACTCGTCGAGCAGGATGTTGCCCGCCGAGACGTCGCGGTGCAGGATCATGGGCGAGAGCGTGTGCAGGTAGTGCAGCGCGCTCGCGGCGTCGCGCAGCACGCGGAGCCGTGCGGCGGAGGAGAGCGGCGGAGGCGGCGTCTCGAAGCCGAGCATGCGGAGCCGCTGCAGTGCGGCTGGAGCGCGGTAGAGGCGGTCCTCGAGGCTGCCGCCGCGGCAGAGGGGGTAGACGAGGCACGCTCTCGCCGGCGCCAAGCAGACGCCGAGCAGAGGGAGCAGAGACCGGTGACACGCCGCGCTGAGCGTGCGCACCTCGCTCTGCAGCTCGGCGAGGCCTTGGGCGCCGACACCGACCAGCGCCGTCTTGACGGCGAACCCGTA